TTTCAAAAGCTATGAAAAGTTTGATTTCATTATAACATATCAAAAGAAGCTTCTAAAGAAAAAAAATCCTCCTGACCATTGCCTGAAGTTCAAAGTTTTCCTATGTCTAGCAGAGGAAGAAATCTAAGTCTATAGGTGATCAAAGCTAACCCTTACTCTGTGCAGGTGGTTTGTGCATCTAAGCCTGAAAGTCAGCTACAATAACAACAGCAGTCTTTAGAATTTGACTATGTTGAGTTTTCTGTCTTCTAAACTCTTAAAAAGGATAGAGTGAGGAAAACAAGGTGATTCACCTGTTGTCATAAATAGAGGAATTGGCCATCAGATTTTTATTTATTTATATAACTCTAACTGTCTAACTGAAATAATCCACAACACATTTCTCTGTGGAGTAGAAACAGCTTTGTTATAAATTAATTAAGAGAAACGTAGTTTAAGATGCAATTTTCCATTGATGGCTGCTACATCATTCATTAGACACAGAGTGGCCAAAATAGATGCAATTCTATCTCTGCAAAATTTTTTAAAAAGGGTTATCCTAATGGCTAAGCTAAAAGTAAAACTATGTCTTAATACATTGGGTGAATCAAATCATTAGGTTAAGGGACAAAGTGAGATGGTATCCTAATATGGGAAATTTTACATCAAAATATATTTTATTATGTATACGGTTTCCATCTTCCCTTAAGACATTAACAGAATCCACAGTGGACTGAGAATCATTATCTCTACTAGATAATTGACAGTCATGCTGAAACTAAGTTAATCAAGTAAAAATGTTTTATGCAAACTTCCTCTCAACCCCCCAAATAAGTTACCCAGACCTAATCCATATTCCAGAGGATAAACTCTATTTGTAAACACAAATAGAGTTAATGAAATTGGTCTTCCAGTGGAACTGAATGTTCACAAGAATAAACATCATAGATGACGTATACCTTACACACATACACACGGATGCCCCTCAAGTGTCACTTTAGAATCAGCATGTATGCACTGCCACATTTAGGACAAGCTCCTTTATAAAGCAACCTCATTGTATCCCGTTTCTCTGCAGCTGCCCCTAAATAAAAAAAAACCCCTTGCCTTGGGGAATACATATTTCTCCTTTCCTCATAACTCTCTGGATTTCATTTTTTATTTATTCTTATGCAACCCCAGTTTGAGTTGGAACCCCAAATTATTCTTCTGACATTAGTCAACACATTTACGGAAGTTTGTTAACCATGGCTGATGGATCAGCAAGCTGCGCACTTGCAACAACTATAGGGTCTTAAAAAGTGAGATTTGCTACACTTGCAGGCCATCGACAACAATGGTAATAAGCCTTGGCCCCACTCGCTTTCTTTCTTAGTTGTAAGGAATCAAGAGGTCAGGAGGAGAAGGGGTCAATCTATATCAGTTCAGGCATCAATTGCTCTCTCCATATACAGCTAATCATGGCACAAAGATTCCTTGACTACATTTCTGTAATGCCCATCATCCCCAGCTTGAGATATTCTTAGCTCTACTGATGACAGTGCAGTGTTTCTCCCAGTATTCTGGCATAGGCAGCCAGAAGATGGATACAATCTGAGATAGGGTAGCCCGCATTAATAGAAGGAAATTGATTGCAGTGACTGGGAATAGTGGCTGTAAGGTGCGAGGGAGAGAATGACAATAGGGACAGGGGAAAAATAAAACTATCATTTTCTGCCAACTTGAGAGCAATTCAACTCAGCACCAGGAAAAGGCGAGAAATATTCCACTATCGTTGTCTTTCTCCCAGTCTTCAGAATGGTTAACATCAAAACAGATGGGACCTATTTTTCCACCAGCAAACCAGGATCTGGGAAATAAGAAAACAATACACTGTAATGGAGAGGAAGTTCAGCCCAGGATGGATCTCTTGATAGTGTGGCAGAAGAATGGGTTTTGTTTGATCAGTTCTGTCCTATTTTGTAGATGTGACTTGTTGATGTTGCCATTCGTAGGCAATACAGTGTCTGTACTTGCATGACATGTTGAGAGAAAGCCTTTAGGAAAAAAGAGACTGGTGTTCCATACTTAAACTCAATTCCCATGTTTTAGACTAGACTCACTGTGAGTTTCTGCAGAGCCTTGAGAATCAAGGCCTCAATATCTGGAATACTAATCATATGAATAAGCACTTCTGAGGAAATCCAACAAGCTGTACCTCTGCTATGTATATGAAGAACCAAATTGTAGCCTCCAAAGAAGTCGTGAGGTTTGTGTCAGAAACAAACCTATATTTATCACACAGTGTTGTGAGTATTGTCTGGGAAAGTCTGCTGATCCTAAGTAAAGTGTTTCTGACAAAAGACAAACATCGCCCTGCTCTAAAAGCTTTACATTGTAATCCTATACATGCTTATTAAACATTTATCCCATTAAGCCCTTACCTGTAGGTAAACAGGCTAAGATCATACTGCTGTACATTTCATTCTAAAATTAGTGTTTCTGAGGTTGAAACCTATCTATATATTGCACCACTTGCTTTGAATGTTGGGTCAAGTGATGCTTTTAAGATACAAAAGTGCAATTATGTTCCAAGCATTCAGAGCTACTCTCATCTTACATTGTTATTTTAAGGTACAGGTCTTGCAGTAGAAAAACTAAGTCTTGATGACCCGAAAGATTGTTCTATTCCTTCTGCCTTCTGCTTCTAAGTGTCTCTGTGAAAGTCTGCTAACCCAGAGGTCCTCTAGTACAGGGGTCTCCAACCTTGGCAACTTTAAGCCTGGCAGACTTCAACTCTCAGCAAAGCTGGCTGGGGGATTCTGGGAGTTGAAGTTTGCCAGGCTTAAAGTTGCCAAGGTTGGAGACCCCTGCTCTAGTAGCTATACATCACATCCTTCTCGACATATGCAGGGTGAGTTTTTGTTAGGACAAGACATAATTACAATTAATTTCTTTAATAAAATTCATACGGTTACCCAACTGACTCTGAATGATTCTGGTTGGCTTACAGAGATAAAAATGCAACATAAAAACAATAAAAAGCAATCACCCCAACCCCTGGGCAACAACAATTAGTCAGTTAAATAAGCCACCTGATGGGCTCCATCCCATTGTAGGTTCTCCATCCCATTGGCAAAACCAGGGCTTCAGGGCTTTGTGAAAGAGTGTCAAAGTGTGGGCAACGATGAGAAGGATGTGATTTGTGTCAGTCATGTGAGGCACTAATGCAGATTAGATCATTTGCCCTCCCCGACAGGCCAATAATAAGAATAAGCATAACATTACAAAAAAGATGTTGAGACACTAGAAAAAGTACAGAGAAGAGCAGCCAGGATGACTAGGGGACTGGAGGCTAAAACATACAATGAACGGTTGCAGGAACTGGGCTTGGCTAGTCTAGTGAAGAGAAGGACCAGGGGAGACGTGATAGCAGACTTCCAATATTTGAGGGGCTGCCACAGGGAGGAAGGGGTCAAGCTATTTTCTAAAGGACCTGAAGGCCAGACAAGGAATAATGGATGGAAACTGAACAAGGAGAGATTTAACCTGGAAATAAGGAGAAACTTTCTGACAGTGAGAACAATCAACCAATGGAACGGCTTGCCCTTGGAAGTTGTGGGAGCGCCATCACTTGAGACTTTCAAGAAGAGATTGGACTGCCATTTGTCAGGAATGGTGTAGGGTCTCCCGCTTGGGTGGGGGTTGGACTAGATAACCTACAAGGACCCTTCCAACTCTGATTATCTGTTAATCTGTTAAGAATAAGAATACTACATCACATCAGTGAATGGTTAACAGCTGGGAAAACCTACTTGATACAGAAGGATCCAGCAAAAGGGGCAACTCCTGCAAATTACAGGCTAATAACATACCTGCCAACCATGTTCAAGCTGCTGACCAGCATCATAGCTGACAGGATGCAGGACTACCAAGAAGCAAATAACATCTTGCCAGTAGAGCAGAAAGGAAACAAATGAGGAAGCAGAGGCACAAAAGATCAGCTACTGATCGACAAAATGATTCTAGAGAACTGCAAAAGCCGAAAAACAAATCTGCATACAACTTGGATTGACTACAAGAAAGCATTTGATTCACTACCGCACAGCTGGATCATCAAGTGCCTGGATGTCATCAGAATATGCACATGGTATTTTCACTGCAAATGTGACGAAGCATTGGAAAACAGAACTGTTTATTGGAAGTGAAAGCTATGGATTGGTCAACATCAAAAGAGGGATTTTCCAGGGTGATTCTTTGTCACCTCTGCTGTTCATCATCGCCATGTTCCCCCTGTCAACAATTTTACAGAAAACTAACTTGGGTTATCCAACTACTAAAAATTCACAGAAAATCTCTCACCTGCTGTACATGGATGATCTGAAGTTATATGGAAAATCAGAAATCGAGATCCAGTCACTGACCAATACAGTTCGAATTTTCAGCACTGACATCAGCATGGAGTTCGCCTGGACAAATGCGCCACAGTGGCACTGAAGAAAGGGAAGATTGTAGAAAGTGATGGAATTGAAATGCCCAATGGACAAACCATCAAGTGCCACCAACCTGAAGCCTACAAATACCTGGTCATACTGCAGCTGGACAATATCAAGCACAGGCAAGTGAAAAATGTGGTCAGCAAGAATACACACAAAGGGTCAGAAAACTTCTAAAAAGCAAACTGAATGGCAGTAACACCATCAAGGCTATAAATACCTGGGCCATACCCATCATCAGATATACTGCTGGGATCGTAAACTGGACATAGGCAGAGCTGGACAGCCTGGATAGGAAAACAAGAAAACTGATGACCATACACTATGCGCTGCACCCAAGTAGTGACATTGACAGGCTATATTTGCCCAGAAAAGCAGGCAGCAGAGGACTTTTGCAGTGAAGCAGACAGTCGAAGAAGAGAAGCATGCTCTGGCAGATTATGTGAAAGACAGTGTTGAACCAGCTTTGATGGAAGCTGCTCAAAGTGCAGCAAACCAAGGATCAATATAGGAAAACAACAATGCAAACTCAGGCTGACAGCTGGTGTAACAAAGCACTGCATGGACAGTTCCTTGAAAAGATCCAAGGAAAAGTTGATAATGAAAAGACCTGGTTATCGCTGACCAACGGAACACTGAAGAAAGAGACAGAAGGCCTGATTCTTGCAGCCCAAGAACAAGCCATCAGAACGAATGTAATCAAAGCCAGAATAAAAAAATCTGCTGATGACCCCAAATGCAGACTGCAACGAAGCGAATGAAACCATCGATCACATACTGAGCTGTTGTAAGACAATCGCTCAGACTGACTACAAACAATGTCACAGCACAGTCGCTCAGATGGTCCACTGGAACTTGTGTCACAACTACCATCTGCCTGTAGCAAAGAAATGGTAGGATCATAAGCCTGAAAAAGTGGTCAAAAATGAGCATGCAAAACTACTGTGGGACTTCTGAATACAGACTGACAAAGTTTTGGAACACAATACCCCGGATATCACGATTGTGGAGAAGAAAAAAGTGTGGATCATTGACATTGCCATACCTGGTGACAGCAGGATCAATGAGAAACAACTTGAAAAAATCACCAGATATCAGGACTTGAGAATCGAATTGCAGAGACTCTGGCATAAACCAGTGCAGGTGGTTACAGTGGTACTAGGCACATTGGGTGCCGTGCCTAAAGACCTAGGCAAGCACTTAAAAACAATTGGCACTGACAAAATCACCATTGGTCAGCTGCAGAAGGCCACCTTACTGGGATCTGCTCGCATAATCTGCCGATACATCACGCAGTCCTAAACGCTTGGGAAGTGTTCGACTAGTAATTTGTGATACGAAACCCAGCATAGTTATCTCATTTGCTGTGTACACTGTTGTTTTTTGTGTATAATAATATGTGTTGTACCCTACACTTGTTTCATGACCCATCACTATCTTGCCTCTTAGTTGATATAGTAGACTCTGTACTACGAGGTGGTTGGTGTCTTGTGCTATGCTCAGGTCATGGAAGGAGGCCACATTGCTTTATCTTTTCAAAACTGAAAGTTTCATGAGCATTGATTTTAGTATGAGTCAGGAAACAAACCTGTCCTAAAAATATGTGATTAATTGTATATCTGGACAACCAACTGCTCAGTGCAAACGATTACAAATTACTGCAATCAATGTTATTAACCTGCACTGGATAAAAAACAGTCATTGTTAGAATAACATTACTCTTTAAATAAGTTAATGATTCATATTTGGATTGAATTAGTCTGATGATACTGTAACATGACCTAAAATTCCTTGTAATTTCTAGTATCATATCTGAGCAATTTCTCTGCTTTCATCTGAAATAAAATCAGTCAACTGTCATTTCATTTTTATTTAACTTTAGTTTTAGATGCAACTGTGCCTGAGGCCAGTCCTGAAAAGAAGCCAATTTCTTCAAATTGGCCCTCCAGATTGCTAGGATTTCAATTTCTATGATTTATTTATTTATTGGCCTTCTAGATTATCCGAAACAACTCTGAACAGCCTCCCAAAGTTATAAAGCATTATATAGAAACAACAGCCATCTTTCTGCAGAATCCCCCAACCTGGTGGGCCCATCCAAATATCCTAACCCAAGACATGGGGAGAACTTTAGGTTTATAAAGATGGCTTGACGTTATGTGGTATAGGAGAGGCCATGCAAAGGGGTAGCTTTTCCAAAAGGCATGAGAAGTGACAGAATTATGTAAGCCAGCTGAACTGGATCAAATCATGGAGTCCTGTACATGATTGAAGATGTTGCCATATCTCACTGTGATAGAAATACACAAAGGCAAAATGAGAGAGAGAGGGAGGGAGGAAGAGAGAGATTTCTAAAGCTTTTCAGAAGCTTGCTTTGTTCAGCCAACATGACCCAGTCGTGACTGGAAGAAATGTGGCCACTTAAAGGCAGTTAACTATTGACCTGGTTTGGCTCGATGCAGAGCTGTACTTGTGTGAACTGCTGCCAGGAAATAGCAGCTGTAACCTAGAAGGCACTACCAATCTTCTTTCACACAGAGATATGGGAGGCTGGAGCCTCTCTGTGGAGCAGAAAGGGAAGTCAGAACCAGTCCTGCTCAATATGGTAGGCAGCAGTAAAAAACAAAACCCAGAGCCTTTCTTTTTTTAAAAAAAAAAAAAGCTCCAGTTAGTTCCCACATCTGGAAAACCTTGGGGTTTATAGAGCACACTATTTTCAGGTTTCTACTATTTGTTTTTATTCTTTTTTGTTATGCTGTTTTTTTCCAAAGAAGAAGGCAAAGCTTGATTCTGAAATCTGGAAGAAGGTAAAATGGAAGTAAACTTCACAAAACTATTTCAGTCTATATTCTCTTCATTTCACTTCTGATGTTTTAGGGCTGGAGCAGTCTGGTTTAGCCATCCTGAACACATCTTTATTTTAAGGGCTGACATTTTTCTTGCCCTACCACTTGTAGCGTACCAGGCTGCGCACAGGAGAAGTTTAGAGGACTGAAATGGAAATCAGGAGGCATTTAGGACCCAGCAGCTGAGACTCTCCCCAAGCTCTTGGCTGCCTCTCACCCTTTACTGCAGTGGATCTGTGCATCAGTTACAGTGGAAGAGAAGCAGGAGATATCCAGTATGCTGGAAGTCTACACAGGGAAGGTATGAGCTGGAACTGGGAGCAGAGAGGAGGGTCAGTTGTGGCCAGGCAGCAACTTGCAGGCATCTTAGGGTAGTATATTGCTGTTGCTTTCCCATCATCCAGGTGATTGTGTATAGGTTAGTAGACAGTCCATTCTCCCAAAGATGCTGAGACAGAGATAACTACAGGACCATAGAGAGAGCAATGAGAGCATAAGCTATTTGGGGAGGATTCTTTCTGCATGTGATGCTGGGAGCAGATTTCTCCAGCAGAAGAGCAAAGAGATGAGCAAGACCAACCTCTTCTATTCCTTTCTCCATTCAGGATCCTGATTCGTCTCCATTCTGGCATAAGCTGAGGCCTGCTTCTTTACTGCTGGTCTCCAAGTACTACACCGGCAGTAGGAAAAGCCTTGGGTAAGGTTTCTTGAACAGGAACAAAGGACAGGAATAATGGCATTTCGGCCAGGGTGGGAGGTGTCCATTCATTTCAGATAGAAAGGAACAGGAGAAAGAATGGAAACTCCAGCTTTTTTGGGGTGGGGAATCTTTGTCTCACAAGGCTAGAGGCAGGACAGTGGAAGAAATCCATGTGAGCAGGATTTGAGCTTGTATGTGTGAGTGGGGGCTTCTTGAAGACCGTATTTACCTTACATGTACTAGTGTTGATAGAGATAGACGAGAGTTGCCAGTAAGAATTTCAGCAGTTGGGAAACATTTGGAAAGCTATAGTATCTGACCCATTCGATAAAGTCTAACAGTGGGATGCGCTGGATCCCATCTTTAAAAGAGATGGGTGGCATGTCTTCTCTGTCATGGCATCTGTCCTCTGGAATAGCATCACCTGGACAATTGAGTTGCCTCAATCCTGCCCTTCTTTAACTGGCTTCGAAGACTTGGGTTTTTTTCCTCAGGTTAGGGAAAGTGTGCCACTAGGCGGAATTTGTATTTATACATGTGGTATTTTCATTCTTGGTTACACCTTCTTCTGGTTTGGATTGTTTTTAACTGTATGCCTTGTTATGAGTGGGATGGGAATATAGCTTTGATTTGTAAGTAAATAAATAATCAAGGAGCATATATTTGTTCACGAGGAATTATGAAGTATGGGGAATGAGGGAAAACTCTCTGGTTCACAGAAGAAGAGATAAATACTTTGTGGGTGTTCGTTTCTTTTGAAGGAACACTAAATGAAAGATATCACCTTTTTCTGGCAAGTTCAGGAAGAAGTTGGTGATAGACTTGCCAGAGGGATAAAAAGGGTGTCCCTGCTTCCATCCCAGTCTATGGAAAGAGCTGCTTGGTTGAGAATTTGGGGTAAAGAGATGGAGAAAGGAAGAAGGTATATTCAGAAAACATCTAAGTAAGTGCTGAAATAGTGACTTTGGGGAAGTCTCAGAGAGTCCAGCTAGAGGCCAGAATGGATTTCTGCTCCATTCATGGATACTGCTAGACCTGATCAGATTTTAGTCACTGGGCCCGAAGAAATGGGGTGGAGCCAAATAAGTCTGAGTAAGCTAATATTATCCAGGGCCAAGCTGAAGTCATAGACATACTTTGCTTTTGTTTTGTTTTGTTTTACTCCCCATCAGGGCTGTGCTCCAAACATATTTGTTGAACCGGAGTGCAAAGGGATATTTCCAGGACAGCAGCATGGACCTTCTTGAAAGCAAGATGACTGGTCAGCAGTTGCCTGCTTCTGAGCATCTCAAGTGGGTAAGTGCCTTCTGCAGATCCTTCAATTGCCTTCTGCAGATCCTTCAGGTTTGATATGGGCCATAGAAAACCCAGGTGCATGAGAGGATCAAGCAGAAGAGAAAATCCTCATGATCTCACGCTCTCTCTATTCTTGTAAAAGATGTTATTTTGCCTGCTAGTCATGCTAAGTTGCATAGTCTCACTGCTGTGCTTGCAAACTAACATGACAGAGCAGGAGCGCCAGAGCAGGAGGCTAGAAAATTTGGCTCATTTTTCGATTGGAGGATTGGAGAAGGCAATAATTAAGAAGCAAAATTAGAACCTTAAGCCTCACTTGAATTTAAGTTACTTATTTTATACTTTAAATCTCTAGGTACCTCCTCAAACATGTTCTAGGTTCCTGGCCCAGCCACTTTTTAGAATGCAACCTTCAGAAGGTTGTGCAAAGTTCTCAGGCCCATAAGAGTTCACAAGTCTATGTCGGAGGTTTATGCTATGGTTAATCAGCTAACTTACACTATCCACGCTATGTCCTCTAATTGCAGATGTTTAAAGAAAAATGTATTGGTATCATTCTCACTGGGGATATCTGCCTGACCATAAATTCATCATAGTGACTTAATCATTTCTTCTAATTTCCTGGCGTTCAATTGGCTTCGAACAATAAATGTAAGTAAGCTGTATGTGTGCCCCATAATTAGTTTGTCCCGAATGACATCTTCTTCTGTATATTGAATTTCAAAAAAGCTTCCACGCCTTGTAGTGTAGCCATCAGTGGGACCTCCAATTCACAAGAGCAGGGAAAAATCTTTCTGAAATCCGGCAGGATCACTCCTAGCCAATACTGAATCAATAGGAGGAAAAGGCAGCTTTTATCTCATCACGTTCTCATCTCTCTTAATTTATTTTGTGTTTATACTTCTTGGATCCTGCTAGTCATCTTCCGTTGCCATATCCCACAATGTATCAAAGTTAAAATATAGCTCTTATAGCTAAGTTCCATAATTTGGAACAAACAAAATCAAACCTTTTCCCTTTAAAAAGATGTGAGATTTCTCTTACAAACATAAA